CTCTCTCTCTCTCTCTCTCTCTCTCTCTCTCTCTCTCTCTCTCTCTCACACACACACACACACACACACACACACACACACACACACAGAGAGAGAGAGAGAGAGAGAGAGAGAGAGTAAAACTCCCTTTGTTCAAGATAGAATTGAACAAAATACCTGAACTACAGATAAATTCAAGAAATATATGGCAATCATAATAAGCTCAAATAGTAATGAATTTTGAAAAGCGATTAGTACATTTCACTTATATTTATTTCTAATAAGAAGCAGAACTTAAAAATACAATTAACTCACTTAAACTGGGTGTGATTGCTTATGTCGTAAAAATAAACTCCAGAATTTCATATCTCTGTTTAACTTTTGAGAGTAAGCATAGTTTGACAATTCAATTAGTTGGCTCCCCCATATTCTGGGACAGGGGTCTCCAACCTTGGCAACTTTAAGCCTGGAGGACTTCATCTTTGCTGGCTGGGGAATTCTGGGAGTTGAAGTTCTCCAGGCTTAAAGTTGCCAAGGTTGGAGACTCCATATTCTGGAATGATTACTCCACCCATATATGACAGGGCCCAGTTCTGCTTTTAAGCTGTTAAGACCTGGTTTCTTTGTCTAGTTGAGTTGAGTGGATTGAGTGGTGTTTCTTTAGTTGTTTAATTATTATCTTCCTTTTGGATTCTTCAAAGAGGCAAGAGTTTTAATGTGTGGCTATTTGGGCAGGAAATATTGTTTGATTTATTGTATACCATCACATACTTTTGAGTTGGCAGCTGCTGTAAATCAAATAAATTAATAATTCATTGTTCAAAGAGACCTGTTTTTATTTCTGATAAAAACATGAATGTAATAATTATTTTACTAAATCTAAACTCTTTTTACTGATTGGTGACTTTTCCAATCTGACAGTCCATATATGAGCAAGGTTGCTGCCTGCTTCTTGCTAAGAATAATGTTTAAATGTACATTTTATTGCATAATTCTGTTATAGTTGTATTCCTAGATCATATACTTTAAATTTATTATGAGTAACAGGTAATTATGATATTTGCATTTATGCTATACTCAATCTTTTTTCCAACAATCACTACTAGGTAACGAAATGGTGGTAAAAATGACTGGTTGAAAATTATCAGAAAATTAATAAGAGAACATTAATAGAATATAATTTTTAGTTCATAGTACATTCTTAATTAGAATGATCAAACTATGCTTATTGTTAAAACTTAAATATAAATTCTTATATTATTCTTATGACATAAGAAACAATGCAGTTGCTTATTCTAACTTCATAGACAACTTATTTTAATGAACATTTAATGCAATAAAAACAATGAATAATTTTTTTATTAAAACACTGATTATTGCATTTAACTATATGCATCTAGTTTATCTGTATCTAGTTATTCTAGATAAGAGACTATGAGTTTCAATCCTTTCTTAGATACGGAAGTCAGTTGGATGATCAGTTATTGTCTCTCAACCCAGCTCATCTCACAGGATAAAAATCTAATAAACAAATAAATAAACCATTCATTTATTCCCCCTTCAAGGTGATAAAATACTTTGTTTTCTTTTTATGTTAAGGTGCTTTCTTTTTGTAGCCATTTAATATATTTTGCTACTGATAGCATTTTATATTCTAAACAAAGTAGTAATTTGAGTTAATGGTATTTAATGAAATAATAGTGTGCTCTTGGATTTAAAATTCAATACTTGGCAACATTCCAAGAATGTTGGTGAAACCTCTTTGCTCTAATTAATGAGAAATGTGAACTTTTATATTAAATACTGCTTGTAACTGATTTGCTGACATTTGTGTTTGCAGCAGTACATTTTATGTCTTCAGATAATGTTGAAAAACTAAGCAAAATTGGACTTTGTTTATGCTTGATGGGAGACCTCAAAATAACAATGCAGAATTAGACTGGCAAGCAAAAAATATAATAATAATAATAATAATAATAATAATAATAATAATAATAATAATAATAATTAATAATAATAATATAGTCAAAACCAAAACCAGATAAAGGCAAATGTTTCCCTGTTCTTCACAACAAAATTGCACAGATACTTTCATGAAGAAACTGGACTCAAAAGAGATTCTTCCTTAAAGAGTTTCCAAATCAGGGAGCATAGCCCATCTCAAGTACAATATCATTTTTGGACATAACCTTTTAAGAAGGATTTAGATAAACAAATGGGTTTATAAAAGGACAAAAAGATAATAAAAAATGGGAAACTAAAGTTATATGAAAAAAGATGAACGGAGTTGACATGTTTAGTTTTCAGCTGAGAAGATTGAGGAGAGATAGAACAGCATTCTCAAATACCTGAAGGGATGTTATACAGAAAAGATCAAAAATCATTCTCTTTCATTCAGAGTTTAGGACTAAGAATAATGAATTTAATTTACAGAAAGTCGTTCCTCTTTAATATTAAAAAGAACCTTCCTACGATAAGGACAATAGGACCAGTTAATCAGAAATATAAAGTGCCACCATT